TAAACTAAAATAACTAGCTAAAAGAGCAAAGACTAACTGGAACTACTTCTTCAAATATATTAATCTAAATAGAAGAAAGGTATTACATAATCATAAACTAGAACAGATCAAAGACAACCTTGAACTATCAGACATTCTGAATAAGACCGTAGGAGGTACAGCAGAGGCGGCGACTGCATGTAGGAAGATCATGAGAACAATATCGATAGATTCAATAGTGCCTATGGAAAGGCTGTGAAGGCTAAAGTATAGAAATACTAGGTTTGATTAAGTAGAGAGGTGTTAATGATATTATAGAAGATCATAGAAAAAAAGGGACAACGATAGAGGTCATTGAGAGAGGTCAGCAAATGATCATAACTAATGATGGTAAGCAATCGGCAGCGCCCACAGACACCCGTAACACCAAAAGAGTTACGTATATGTGCGTTGCCGGCCTCTTATGGGTTAAAGATTTGAGGATTGTAGATTTGGGGAATTGAGGAGGGGCAGAATGAGTTGGATTTACGCAATGTATTCCTAAAGCTTTTGTATCAAGTCGCCCAAGATCTTTAACTGTCCTTAATTACATACATCTTAGGGGTGCCATATAAGGCTTTGAAGTCGGTTTGTTTATAAGATCCAGTGCCTCCTGGTAGGTGTTGATGGTAGGAACCAAGACGCTTTTCATTTCCTAGTCTTCCTCTTCAAATACTAGGCTCCTTTTGAAGGTCATTATTATTATCATCAAAACAGGGCCCAGTGATTTTTTTTATGGAATACAACACAAGCAATTATTTCACGTCGGTTTTCTGTGATGCCGTAGTATCACTTCAGTCGAGACGGCCCTTTTGTGCTAACGCATGGCTCTCCCACACTTATTTTACGTTTTTCCATTTTAAAACAATAATATTAGATAAAACATATTGCATACCTATACAACCCATCCATTGTATGACTGACCTCGACATGTTTCTACCTACAAACATTAAACCTATAGCCGCAATTCCTCAAACCAGATACGAAACACTGAACCATACAGTGCTATCTTATCATAACAGATTCTAAGAAAAATGTCGACTAAATATGTATAATGCTAAAAGTAGTCTTACAAGTACCTACCCAATATGAGTTTTAGATAATATGCGAATACTTGCATATGCGACTCATGATCGTTGTGACAGACTTGACAGTCCACTTCTAGAATTTGACTCTTTTCTACGTAAGATGCAAAGTCTAGCAAATAAATACTGAAGTCCTCTTTTTTATCAACCTCTCCTAAATAAGGAACCTCGAAACTAAGATAGGTGACACTAAATAACGTTTTACTTTTACAAACCCACAACTGACACCTAACAGTACAAGTAGAGCGTTTAGGTGCATCGACACACTAGAAAACTCTTAGTTAAAAGATGGTTTGAGGGACTATCAAATATAGTAGAACGGCCATAATAGTGACAAATCAATTTATAAATAATTATTTCAACTAGAGCAAGAGTCATGGTATAAACAAATAGGATTTTTTTTAAGGGGGGAAAATCATCGAATGTCTGCTCCCGCCTGGGTGAGGCGGGAGGGAGTGTCAGACTCTTACTGACTAAAAACCACCCCGTTCCTTCTCCTGCACGTCGAGCTGTAGCCCCGGTTACCCGTTAGGTTCTCCGCGACTAAACAAATAGGTTTAGCGCTAGACTAAAATTACCTTACTAACCTAAAAATAACGGAAAATAAAACATAATAATGCTGTCTGGCCATCCTAGACAAAAAACTTTAAACCACTAAGAAATTGATGAGTTCTCTCAGAGAAAATTACTTTAATATTCCCATTGAGGCGTGACCTAAACCCGTTTGTGTTAAAACCAACTTAACTTTGTCATATCTTCAAGTTAGATGTAGCTTTAATAACCATAAAGATAGAGAATATATTCGTCTGTAAGAGTCCTGAGTTGATGGTAAAGTTAAGTTTGTGGCAGCAGTCGCAAATGATTTTTTACCTTCAGTCGATTTGCGTGAGTCAGCGTCTGTTGCCAGACAGGCCTTATACCATGGAACTTATGGTGTGAACTAGTATCGTTTACTATGGGAACTATACACAAAATTATGTAGTATACTTGGAGTATAAATTACAATTATCAAAATTATTAGTAGTTTTGTTCAAGAAGTTTTAGATGTTTAGATTAGGAATACCTTCGAGGATAAATCTTAAAATTATCAATTTACGACTATAGTTAATAGGATTTATCTCACAAATAGGATGACTTAAACCCATACACGCAAAAATGTAATAAAAATTTTCTTTCCAACAGATATTTACATCTATTACTTCAGTAAACATAATAAGTTCCTATTGCATTTCATCCCACATCATCTCAAATTTCAAAATGGATCTTAAAAAGCAGCAAATAGATTTTAAATTGTCTCTATTTTATTTTACTTACATTACTATGTATCTCGTTTACATGAAGGAATGCAAAATTTCGTGGTAGGCAGAGCAAAAACAATGAAGCCGTTAGATAATTGACACGACCGGCACGCCATGCTACTGTAGGCCCCATGCGGCTATGATTTCATCATAGCCAAAAATAGCCTTTGTTTTTAATGCCTAAATTATCTAGATTAATAGTACGCATGTGTCATTTTTATTCGCGTTGGTCCTAGAATGTAGTAAAAAGTTAATATAAACATGATTATAAAAAATAACTTTATCTAATCTTCAAGATCTGAGCCTCAAACTTCAACTTTAATAAATCAAGCTGAGTCCAAAACTTATTGTATATTATGATTTCCGTATTTTATTTAGGTTAATAAATGTTGATGAAGTCATAAATGTATGTAAGTATCATAGTAATTGGCGTTCCATAGTCTCTGCTTACCCCCATGGGAGACAGGCGTGAAGTTATGTATATGTATGTTAATAAATGTCAAATAGCCGAAATAAATTACCTTTGAGACATAAATTAAAATAATCAAGATCGTGTTGAAAGGTGTGATTGATAAGATTTTATTAGATTAGTTTTTGAAGAAGACGAAAAATTAATTACTTATATAAATAATTTTGTCCTACCTAAGAATAGACACTACGCCGCAATCACGTTACCCATTAAAAATATCGCATTATTCAACAAGATAGTTTATGTAGTTCAAGAGGTGACAGTGATGCGGACGAGTACTTTGACGCCGAATTAAGAGTATTTTGTTTTTTAATTCTTTAATTTATCTGTTTATTTGTTCATTTCTTTCAAAATCAACTAAACATAAAGAAATAAACAACAAACTTTAGAATCATTACTAATAATGTTCAAGAAGTATTTTTAAAAGCCATAAAACTAATTTTACATTACACTCATTCTTTATTTTTGCCATACAAAAAACCAATACTTCAACAATTTATGAACAATATTAAATATTTAACCACGGCGATGCTTATGTTTAAAAATAACCATTATGTATGTAGACGACCATCACCGACACTTAACGCTGTCTTATCTATAAAAATAATCTTAAACTATGCCTTTAAAAGATTTCATAAAGTAACTCCTTTAGGTCCTTCTCTAAAGGTCCGATTAATCCTTTTAAGCAGACCAGTGTTCTCTTATATGGTCATTTGTATCATGTCATTGGTTAAAAAAAGTACTCTGATTTTGCCCTTTATGTTAAGAGTCTAGACTTTGGAGCCATAGCTCTTATAGCAGTTATAAGCTGATAAAAATGGGGCCGTCGGTAGAGAGCGCCTTAGACAGTTGCCAGGGCTCCGGCTTGAAGTGCAGGAGTAGAAATGGGGTGGTTTTTAGTCAGTAAGAGTCTGACACTCTCTCTCGTCTCAGCCAGACGAGAGAAATCATTGACCCTCCGACGAAGCTAGGTAATGATGCACGGCAGATTCTTTGCCAGACCTAATTTCGTATGTGACCACACACACAAGGTTGTTCAAACCCGCCCATGTCAATAACACTTTGCTCAATCTGTGATCATACTCAACTACTAAAGACACCGATCACACTGTAAACACTTTTCTCAAGTAATACTTTCGCATTCTAGAAAAAGTATCAATTATGTCACGTACTCTTATATCAAGAAGCTCATAAATTATTTTTAACTGCCTTTATTAACCTGCACGACGTCATAAACACGTTATTCGCCTGTCACTTTACTGCAGAAGCATTTTTGGTAAAGGTCAGAAAAGGAAAGCGAATATTCAGCCTCATATAACTCACTTCACGAATTCCCAACACGCACTCTGTTTTAAAATGTTCAATTCAATTAATTGACGCCGGAGTTAATCCTGTTAATTTGTACAAAAAAAACTAATTTCGCCCACAATCCTCAGACGGTAATATAAAGAAAAGAAAAACCCGTAAAAGAGCTCGCGGTATGCGCATACGACGGTCAATCTTCTCATAATGTCATTTGTCCGTGGAATCAGGACACGGTTCGAGCTTTAACGTACGACAGAGCGAGACAACACATCATCGCCTCGCCACCCCGCCTCGTGAGGCAACACGTCTTGTATTTAATTACTTCGTTTGCAGACACTTGATTTACGAATCGCTTAATTTGAAAGTGTTGATTTAAGTTTTGATGAGAGAGCCTGCTTCGCCAGAAGTTATAACGACACCCACGTATAAATCAGTTTGTTTTAAACTCAACCGCCCGGAACATGAGAAATGTGAGGACATAAACATATTTATGACGCAATTACATTAATTTTCGAGAAAATTAAAGTACATGTATAGCAAGGAAACATTAGTGAACCATTAAACATCGTAAAAACTCAGTCATTTACTGTCGGCCCATAACTCCATTTAAATTCCGACGCAACATCCTCATTCGATATAATTGCTTATAACAGTCCGGCGCTGTACAGTTCAAATTATATTATTATCCTAAGCTAGAATAACTTCAAGGATCGTTAATGTGTAAATCGATTGCCATGCATGGAGCGCCATGCGCAGTCGCATACTAATCGGAGAGTGACACAACAAGCGTTATAATCAAAACAATATTAACATGCTTTATTCCTGTTGCAGACTTGGCGGCGATACGTCAACTGCTGGAGAGCGAGACGGGAGGCACCACCTGTCCCAGCTGTAACATGCCCTTTGACAAGGGCAAGAAGAGGAAACTGATCGACACTTGCGGGCATGAGCGATGCTACTCGTGCATGTTCAGGAACGAAGCTTGTCCGACGTGCGCGAGGAATAACCAGGCCCAGCGGCGGCCGGTCATGGAGAGGTACACCCCCTCGCCACAGCGGCAGGAGCCAGACTGGCAGTCACCGCACCGCCTGCCCAAGCCACCGAAGCAACCCTCCAACCTAGCACAGAGCTGCCCCACACCACCGCACACCAGGAGAAGATTCTTCCTAAGCCCCAAATCGCTACGCAGTCCTTTCGGGCAGCGCGCGCGCCACTCGCACGACAACCACGTGCCCCTCTCCGGTAAGTAGTTCGCACGCACTCATATTTGCATACCTGTGGGCCTGCGCGTGGTAGCCGCGGATTTGCATCGTTGCGCAACGGCTGCACACGCAAGCTACACTTCATTGATCCCTTCTTGGGCACAGTTGAAATCTCATTCACAAGCAGGTCGCGCAGCACCTCTCACTTCGATGGCCCGCTTTATGAGCTTTACGAAAACTGCGAGGATCCACTGCGCCATAAATATCAGTGAGTGACAGTTGCGACACGCGCGCCCACGCAGCGCCGCGCCGGATGTACGTAGGGGTTCCTTAAAGGACCGGTTGTCTGTCTACTGTATTTATTAGTTAAAGTATAATTCCGTACTTTTGCAACGCTGCCCGCGCAGACAGCGGGCCGGCTGTGAACATTATCTCTGTATCTGTTACATTTTCCATTTCCATTAATTATATCATTCCGGTCCACCAGATTTCTTGGGTAATTGAAATATACACTTCGTTCACAGCTGTGAGTTTCTTAATAAACTATTAGTATCAATTCGCCACGGCCCTTGCCCCTTCACGTTTGTACTTAATCTGTCGATTGCTAACATTTCTATCTGTCGATATGAATAATGGTATCTTTTACAATTCGTAATGGTTTGTTAATGCGGCGAGGTGCAATTAGTTGACGATCGACGTTCGATTGGGATCGTGTGATACAAATGTTACTGACACCAGTGATGATGGATGGTGAGAGATTTGTTGACGGTGTACTGGGTGCTTCTACAGGCTTGCCGGAGGAAGGGCCTCGGAATGCGGCGTGGCACAGCTTGGTGTTCAATAAGATCAGGTCGCTGTGGTCCACGCACTCCTCAGTGCCCCAAGGACTCAACCAACTGACAGGCACGAAGTCTTAATTTTGCATTGGAATGTGGATAATACCGATGTTGCTCATTTAATTGCAAATGTGGCTTTAAGAATCAATTATTCGTTTGCATCTTAACGTTCTTAAATGTATTGTTAAGTTTCTGGAATCGATTTGGATTCGATAGTTGGATAATATGGGGAACATACATCGAATAATTGATATGGTATGTTTCCCTGAACTGTATAGATTGATGGATCGATTAATGTAGTATCGATTGTTGCGGTAAATGAACAGATCAGTATTCAGTCCGCATTCCCTGGTGTAGCACGGTCGTCGTTTGATTTTTGCACATCTTGTTGCCTGTACGCATCGCTCCGTGCGTTTGACACATAGCTTAGTACCGGTTTTGTTTTACCATTGTTTATTTGCATTTTGTGTGGTTTTGAGTTTGTGGTTTTCGATTTTTAACGCTTGAACCATTTTTGTGTTGGACGTTATTTGAGTGCCCCATTTTAAGATCACGATTTATGTTGTAATACGCACACTGTAATGATAAGATGTTTATATTATGCACAAAAATGTATACCTGTTATTAATTCCATTAACCGATTTTTGAACGATTTCGATTAAAAGCACAATTTTAACCGATATAAACACAACCTTCACTCGCATGAATCATGAACGTATAGAACACGATGAAGACATGAGTAATCGATTCTTCAATCGAGATAAAGAATCGGTGACAAAAGTAACATCGATTTGTGGCCAAGATCATCAGTATCGATAAAAACTGATCGTGTCCGGAGATAAATACGAGAGGAATTATGATTTTCAAAACGATTGTTATGTGGATTATAAAGATTGTTTGAATGGTAATATTTTTCTTTTATTGAGCTTATTTTGTATGCTTTCTCAAGTAGGTATAGTTATTAATACGGATATGAAATTGCTATTACTGCTCGTAGGCTGAGTGGTCGCAAATGCGACTGTCAAGCAAGGGGTCTCGGGTTCGATTCCCGGGTCTGGCAAAGTATTACTGGGTTTTTAAAACATTCTCAGTAGTAGCACGGATTTGGTCAACGAGGCAGTCAATAACATATAACATAGTATAACATGGGGCTCATAACATAAATTGTGAAAAGTGAGTGTTACACTGTACAGTCGCAAATGTGCACCTCTGCCTATCCCTTCGGGGTAAAAGGCGTGATGTTAGGTATGTGAAATTGCTATTAAAATAGTAGCTTTTCTATAGTTGTTTCTTAGTATTTATTATTATCTAGTTCTTGTACCATGAGTGTCACAGTGTGTGCCCTAGAATCTAGGTTACGACTGTCTAAGCACTAGATAGTTATTATTTTCCTCAAGAATTGGTCTATCTATTGCTAAGTAAATTATTCGGATCCGGTCGACTGTTACATTTAGATTAGGGCGTTCAATCAAGCTTACTAAACAAATTGTATGCTTGATATTTTCTTACTGTAAAAGTACTGAACGGATTTTAGCGGAATATATTTAAAGATAGACCTGCTATTAGACTTTACCTCAGCTAAATTCCTAATCCCCTAAAGGCCGGTAATGCACTTGTAACGCCTCTGGTGTCCATGGGCGACGCCGATTGCTTACCATCAGGTGATCCGTCAACTCGTTTACCGGCTTATTCCAAAAAAAATTCAAGTTTCTTAAAAGTTAACAAACTATAAATAATCTTTTACTTACCTTACACTTTAAAACACAACAGGATGTGATATTTTATGCAATACCTGGCAATTTCATTCACGACCTAGTATTGTCAGACGACAAAACTCAGTGGGTAGTATGACGCGACTGTACTACGTAGGTTGGGTAGAGGTCGCTAGTTGTCACCGAAAGAGACGAGCGAGGGCGGGTCCTTGTCTAATCGGAACAAGTATTTGTATCAGTGATAGTACTTTAAGTAGTGTCGTGGCCTTTGGTTTAAAGTTAAAAGTTAATTTCATAGAACACTTTCGTTGGCTTACAATGAAATGGGAATATTTTATGCATTAAATATTGGACAGTCAAAAATTTAAAAGTTAAATATTGGACTGTGTCAAATAATGAGTGGGAAAACTTCCTAACTATTAGTCTTAGGTTTAAGGGGGGGCAGGCAACCATATTGCCTAATTTAGTTAAAAGAAATTAAAAATGAAAAATGACCTTTTTCATTTGCCTCAAGCGCAGATTTATCAAATCATTATTTACCCACATTTGTGATTTATTGAGATATGTGAGCACCATGTTAGACTAGGTATAAGATTTTTTTTGTTTTGTTTTTTTTTTTTATTTTAGTAAGTTTTGTAATTCGTACAATGCATCAAGCGTGTCTTTGCATTGTTCTCACATATACGTACATACGTACAACATTGAAATATCTATCAGAGATATTGTAGAACATATTTTTTTAAACAAGAGTAACGAATGGAGTTTCTTTCTCGTTCTTCTCCATTCGAATTTACGTTTTGGAATGAGCACCTAGCTTTACCTAGCATCACTGACGGACTGACAGACTATGATTTATGGTTTAATTGAAATAAATGCTTTGACTTTGACTTAGACTGTGACTATAGATTCGTACTACTTACTTAAGTTATTCTATAACTTTACTTGATAGTACACAAAGCACCGCTAATTAGTTAGCGGCGCTACACATCGACACAACTATCATTTACACAATATACATGTGTGGGTAATTTCATATCAATAGATATGTATAGAAACATTCGTCTATCACACACATCTTGGTATTTAAAAATCATTTTTGTGTCGGTATACGCAATAATTTAGTAAATAAGTTTAAATAAAAACGAGGGTAAAGATAAAATTACTCATAACAAACTTTGAATAAATCGAAATCAAAAATAATGAACGATCGAGCTATACAATACCCATATAAATATAGTGCTTTCTCATTGTAATTTTATGTTACTGAATGATATAAAATATTTCGATGATCTCATCTACAGCGCGCTTGGCGCAATGGTTATCGCCTCCAATTGTCAAGTAAAGTGCCGCCGGATCGATTCCAACATTCACATGTTGTTTTAGAATTAATTTATCAAATATTTGAAATTTGAAATTAGAAACAATTAAATCTTTTCTTTTTTTTTCCTTTCCTATTGTTCTAAATCTTATGTTAATTTTAATAGTAAATACTTTAGATTTATTTATACCTATAATATCTTTTATTTATATTTTAGTTCTAGTTATTTATTATTTAGAATAATCTCATTTGCTTCATGCATTTCAACCAACTTAAATAAGATAAAAACAGTAAAAAAGTAATTAACTGTGATTTCTTAATGGTTCGATACCTGAGTATATTTGCAATGTTTGTGGCGACCATAGAAATCTCGAGTCATTTTATTTTACACGCTTATGAAGTAACTACCGACTATTTAAAACATGTTTTTCAAATCACCCGACTTACAAAATAATTGCGTTCTTAGTTGTCAATTTATGAGGATTTCATAGTTTATTGCTACACTACTTATATTCGTGTGCAAAGTTATTTTTATTTTTACAAGATGTTCCAACACCTATCAACATTTAAAAAGGCTGAAACCATTGTTTTGCATGAGCAAAACATAACTAACAATAACTGAAATAGCAAGGCGTTTAATGATATCGGTGAGTAAATAAGATACTACGTTGATATTCTAAATAATATTTATTTCATTTTGTAACTCGACACACCTATCAATTTTTGCACTAGAATAAAATAATTATTGCAACTTATTATGAAGTTCAATATTATAAAGATATATTAATAATTTATTATTAATTGTATTGTAACTTGACTTGTTTTTGTTAGGAGTGTTTCTTTAAAACATATCTGGTTAGGGATTTTTATTCCTTACGCCACTACTTAATTATAAATTATTATTCTAACATTGTGTTTACTTATATTTATTATTATTTTTAAGTAACTTTAATTCCTGTAAAGTATTTCCTGGTATTTTAAATACTTATTTGTTTGGTATCAACAGAGGAGATCCATGCAGTTATGGGTGCACAGATATGCGGAGACCGGTGACGTTAAACATCGTCGACGTGGGCCTAAACCAAAGGCAAATTCATCGGCTCGGCACTACGACATCGTAGCCAGGCACATGGCTGATCCGTTCCTGCCAACCCGCACTACAGCGACAGCACTG